CCACTTGAACTCAAGGTTCCTCCCGGAGGTACCTTGCGATTTTGCCCCACTGGCACTTGAGTTTCAACTTTCAAGTATGCACATTTGAGAGCAGGAGTTCAAAGTGAAAACATTACAGCCGGGGGGGGGGGGGCATCAGAGGTACCTTGAGTTCAAGTACGATTTTGCCCCAGCGGCACTTGAGTTTCAAGTATGCACGTTTGAGAGCAGGAATTCAAAGTGAAAACACTACGGCCGGGGGGGTGGGGTCATTAGGGAGGGCCCGGAGGGGTGGAACAAAGAATTTTTCGTCAACCCTACCTAGGCTTGAGTTCAAGTGGGGTCGAACGAGGCCCTATGGGCCTATAGCCTCCTCCGAATTTTTAGGAGGGGCAAAATCTGCTTAAAATTTTTCGGATGTACTGGTGGTTCATATTTGCAAAACTAACAAAAGAAAAAACAAAGAATTCAAAAGAGAAAGTATAAAACAGTTCTTCTTTTCTTCAGTCAGCTATACTGAGGGAATGCGGTCCCATTCATCCAGTTCAAGGGTTTCCTCTAGTGTTTCCTCTAGAAAAGACGTCCTAGTACACTAGAGGACTTTTTTCCTGCACAGCTCTGGACGTGATTGCGGTCACATTCATCCAGTTCTGGCCGTGCTCGCAGTGTGATGCATTTGGGAAAATTAATTCCTAGTGTGAGCAAGCCCTGAGTCACTCTGAGTGAGCTCGCTGCCTTCACTACGTCCAGTTCTGGCCGTGATTGCGGTCACATTCATCCAGTTCTGGCCGTGCTCGCAGTCTGATGCATTTGGCTAAACCATAGTTACCAGAACGGTTAACCCCACGGACACATACAGGCCTGTGCAAGTGACTTTCGTACCTCCCGCATGTGTATTTTACTATTTTCTGATCTCTTCCCTCCCTCTCCGCTGTACTGTACTCTCCTCTCTCCCATCCTGCTCAAGTGTTTGCTTTGCATCACCGCCCTTCATTAGTCTCTCTCTCTCTCTCTCTCTCTCTCTCTCTCTCTCTCTCTCTCTCTCTCTCTCTCTCTCTCTCTCTCTCTCTCCACCCTGCCCCCCCTCCTCATTTGCCCACCTCTGCCCACCCGTGCTACTGCTGCTTGCCTTTCCCTACCCATCTCATCTATTTCATCTATCTCGTCTATCTGTCTATCTATTTCATCTATCTACCAACTTGAATCTATCTATCTGGCAGTGCCCTCCTGCTGCTGCTGATTGGTGTTTTGCCTGGTTCTTCTCTCTCTCTCAAATACGAAAGCCAACAAATTGTGTGGGGAGCTTTAGCTGCAAAACCCACAGTTTAATCATCGTTTCAAATTGAATTCGGAGTTCAGAAATTCAGCTAATTAACTTTTCAATGTTTTCATCCTTCACCAGGTAGAAACATACACCACCACTTTTTGTG